TCAAATAAAAGATAATAAAAATAAAAAATTCTTTGTGGCGTACACAATGGGTGACCCGAGAGGGGCCTCGTAGCATAGGTTAATCTGATACAGAGAAGCATATCATTGGACTAATTTGGACAAGTACATTGATGGAGTGCGATTGTTGGGAGCTCCGACTCGGTAGGCAACCGGAGAGGAGGAGAAGGCCGGCTCAGCTTTTAACTTGGCTATGAATTGGGTACCCCTAGTAGCCATTATGTCGCCCTTGGTTGAGGTGGACTAATATGGTAAGTTGGTTTTGAAACAACGGAGAGAAGGGGAAGAGGGGGTAGGGGTGCGTAGAGGTAGGGAAGAGGAGCAAAGGAGATAGCTCGCGTGTCCCTTTGGAGCGCCCCAATCATACTGGCAAATTGTGCGAGTGTATGAGCTATATTTCGAGCTAACAATAAGGAGCGGCGAGTTGTTTTTGGAGGCGAGTGTGGTCGAGTCGTGATCGGCAATCGACGTGCACAATGAGAACAATATCGTTATGATCTCTGTCCGCAATTTGTGTGACGATAGTGACGATAATGAGAGCTGGAATGTGTCTGAGGAGCGTGCGAGGCGAGGCTAACCGCCACCCTCCCCACCTAGCAAACTTCCTCGTTCGGTGTCTACAGAGCTCGCTACGGCAACCAGAACCATGAGTGAGATAGTACTGCTAGTTGATACTGAATTGGATGACCGTCTCTATTTTTTACCGTTTTAGAGGGAGCCAGACCGATCGCACACAATGAGATCGTTGTGCAGGCTGAAAAAGGCAGGTGTAGATCTCCAGCAAGCCCAAATAGGCAGGATCCAAAATTACGAGTGAATAATGGAATTATTGGGATGGTTTATTGTTGCCTCAATGTTTCGCAAGTGTAGGGGTGTCGAGTGTGTTGGTGGATAGAATGTCCTATAGTCGACCCAGATTGGAAAGTGACACACACTCGATCTCTATTCAAATGTTGGGACCCAGAGAGGTGAATGGCCATGAGGCTGGTCGGCGGCCGTGCGATGGCTATTGTCCGCTGGATTAAGCCAGACGAGCGTCTTTCCAGATCTGGCGAGCAATAGGCATCGCATCCCATTATGTGGCCAGAGAATAGTGACAAGTTGTGAGATAAGTTGAGAGTTAACACGTATAAATACACGAGCATACTCGACAGGTTTTCGACCAGAGCCTCTTCTCCTCTCCACTTGTAGCCTTAGTTTCATCAGCCTCTCTCCTCTTCTCTCTATCTACTCCTCTCTCAAACGACAGCAATGGCCTACTACGCAGCTCCCCCAGCATACTCTGCCTACCCCGCTCAATCCCAAAAGTACTCCATCCTCGGGGCAGTGGCCACCTGGACCAGGGCACATGTGACGGTCCTTGGCCGACCAGTTTTCGAAC